ACATTTCCCTTATTGTCCTTGCTGTTTCGATCACAAAAATTGCCTTTTTTTTCTATATATATAGATGTTATCCCCTCGAAAAGATCTTTAAAATGCCATATCTCAAAAACGGTTCAACATAGAGCAATAACTAAGGTAGCGTTGGAATCGTGTCACTGAGCTCTTTGCATTGGTATTGTTTTTAAAGCAATTTGAAAGCTTTGAAATTTTTATCCAAGTGCCTACCTTGATAATCGCTCCGCTGGACTGTGTCACTTTATCGATCGATATCTTGGCCAAGACAAAGATCGTGTATTTATACAAGATAGTTCACAGCTCTATAATTGAGCCAATTAACAAAAAGTAAAAAGTGTCCTCAATATTCAAGGCGCCCTCTTCGAAAAAGTCAGACTTTGCAATCAGAGTTACACTACTTGTACTTGTGTGAAAATATAATAAAGGCATAATAAAAGTGAAACTGTTCTAACAAACTGTGCTATTCCTATTCTTTTTCTGGTGAAACGAAAGAGAGCTTTAAAACAAAGACTGCAGCGTCATCTGAACCAGACCAATGTGCGGACTTCCACGGACACCTTTTTGGCTGAGTGAACTATTTTGTTACGATCTTTGGCCAGGATAACTTGCACAGTCATTGGTCACTATTTATAACATTGACCTGTAATATACTACGTCATTTTCCATAATGAATGCAGAAATTTTCCCTTGAAAAAAGGTCAACGTCAATGCCCTTCATAGCTGCGTGCTTCCCAATCGAAGTAGGTCATCCCTATAATATGTGTAGGGCCAGCGCGTTTCCCAGGCAGCCCGGCTTTTATAAGCCCTTTATAAAGGGCCTGTGCGCTTCCACTTTCAGGGTTTAAGTTTGTCTACTTTTAGTGTCCAATGTGTTAGTTTATGTGTCGCCTACAAAACCTAGCTTATATTATGTGCAGTGGAGGGCCATACACGTACGGGAGGGCCGTACTCTTAGTCTTAGCCACTTCGGGGTCAGAGGGACAAGCCCCCTTGCCTTGTTAAAAACAGGTGGAATTCTACTGCTCATTTTGTAGGCAAGATCTAGAATCTAGATTCTCTACTGATAAAACATAAAACATTGATACCAACTATTTCAATCAGTATCAATCGGTAGCCTACTCTGCGGGAAGGCCTAGAAGAATCTAGAAATCTAGAGACTAGAATCTAGAGTGTGATTTAGTATTTAGTGCAAACGGGACTGCAATTGTACCGGAGTGCCGATATCTAGATTTAGATGTAGATCTAGATCCTCATCATGTGTTGATCAACAGCTCCAACTTCAACAAGTCACCCAACACATCAGCTAAACGTTCATCTCAGTAGACCCAGAGCTTACACTTCATCACACTTTGTTACTTTTGTACTGTACACTTACCTCACACTCAATTAGATTACGGTTGATTAAGAAATTTACATTAAAAGCTGCAACATAATATTGTTCACATGTCACTTTACAACTGAAAACAAAACATACACAAACTTACACAAAAAAGGATGAAACTAGGCTTCCCACTTTGCCATTATATTATAATTATAGATCTATTAGTTTTAAGGTTGGCCTTCTCAGTGCTCACAGCTTGTTTTGGTACGGTAATGGCGTCCTACAACTGTGCATGACGGGAAATGTTATTATTTTTAAAAAATTATTTGAATAAAGCAAATTTAGACTTACACATCTCTTTGAATCTTCAATAATTTTATATGAAGTCATTTAATTTCTTTTAAAAATATTTTTTGAAATGCTTTAAAGTTTACACCAATAGTTGTCATAACAACAGGAAGGCGAAACTGCGTCTATATCCAAAATGGCGGCGGCGAAGCAAACAGAGAAGGAACCTGTAAACTTCGTTCATCAGAATGATATTCTGTGTGAAACAATTAAAAAAGAACACCGAACTCAAAGAATCTTCACTAACTATGGGATCAATCCTTTCAAGAAAAGTGAGATTACTTTTAAATATGCCCAGTGCTATTCAGGGCATTACCTTTGACACTTTGTTGAAAGGATCAAGTCTAAGTTAGTTTCAAGTCTAGATCTAGATCTAGATTCTAGAGTCAATTGACAATTGATAATATAAAATTAAAGTTGTGTCTTAATTTTTACAATGTCCTTTTCTGTTTAATCTGTTTTCATTTGTGATGTGACGATATTTTTTTTCCCAATTTGAACAATATCTAGATCTAGACTCTAGATATCTAGATCTAGAATCTAGATTTAACTGCGATGCTAGACTTCTAGCCTCGATATAATTTTTATAATATAGATCTAGAGTCTAGATCAATGGTCGCTTTTAAGCATAAGGGGGCTATCCCGAAAAATGCTGTTTTGAGAAAATTGAAGGTAAAGTTTTTCCCCCTCGTTCAGTTTCTTTAAAAGACAAGGAGAGTTTTTACTAAACAGATATACACTCCAACGAAACCAAATTCCTCTAGAGTAAAATTACCGGTTCGGTCAAAATAAGGACGAAAACAGGCACGTCGACTTTAAAGCTTTATATCTCCTATCTGCCTTGCCCTAGAGACAAACCGAAACCAGCTACAGGAAGTCCTGTGATTGGATGACCCCAGGAATGACCTGTTTCAACTTGTTCTCATATTTGAGGCCCTTACTGGGTGCAAAAGTGACACCCGATTTATTTACGAGTTCGGACACATTTTTTTTGTTTTCTCATGGATTTGGGCAGTATTTTGACATTCGGTCATTTTCAATTGTTATCACATTTGTTTCTTTGCAAGCTTAATAACATGATTTTTAATGCTTGTTATCAACACTTGGACACAATGATAGTTTGTCTGAAGTGGTTTTCACCATTTATAGCTATTTTAATGAGTATGTATCTGACCCACTCTACAACGTGGTATCTGACTCTACTACACTGGCATCTGGCTCACTCAACTACACTGGTATCTGACTCTGCTACTCTAATATCCGACTGTATTACACGCTGGTATCTGACTTTACTACCCTGGTGTCTGACTGAGCTAATATGCTGTATCTGACTCTACTATTATTTAAATTAGGCTCAAATTCTTGATTCTTTATTATATAACCATTGGCACTATATTATCTTATGTGCCCGAAGGATGAGAAACTACGGATTTTATGTTACAATCCGGGCACCCCCCCTTTGGGCAAAAACGGCGAGGCTGACCTGAAATTCTCTTTCATCCTTGATGGGGCCTCATATGCAAATAACTCTCCAGCTTTCAGAGTTTACCAAAACGAGGAATCTAGGCCACAGGCTCCTTCATCCACAACCAATGTTAACTCTTCCAGGGAAAGAGCTTCACGCTGTTTTGCTCAGTTGATGAAGAAAAAGCTGTCTTAAGGACTATTTTTAACAAAATATCGCCGTTACTGTTGTTTCAACAAAAGTAAGGGAGGTTGCTTTAGGTTTGTGTGCCACTCTTTTGAGGCTAGATTTAAAAACAAAGTTTTAAACGATCTTTTTGTACTCCAGTGCCCGACAGCTAAAAAAAAATGTGCTGCCCGACCCGGTACGATTACTCTAGATCTGGGTAGGGCAATAGCCTACCCACTTTTGGTGTAGGTCAAGATTTCTGGAAATCCTCGAAATCTGGGTCAGCTTGCTGGTCCTTAACTCATTCGCTACGCCGAGCCGCGGCGGCTCGAGAACCGATCTTCAATTTTAGCTTAGATTCTATTCCAATCCACATATCCATGTTAAAATAAAGGTAATAATATAATGTTGACTTCCGGGTCAAGCATTTCCACTGAAAATCGGAAATTTAGGTTCAGTTTTGAAACGCGATTTTGTAGTCTATTCGACTTTGTTTTATCGTGATGCCAAAATTATAGCCCGGGCACCAGTCTTAGTAATTTTACACAACAAAATCTATCATTATTTTGCCCACTAAAGAAATGTAGGACTCTTTTTTATAAAATATATATTGATACGATTGGACTCATATTGCCAATACACTGTTATTGAGAAATCAATATTTTTGAGTGCTAGATCTATATCTAGGTCTAGATCTAAATTGTCAAAATATATTTTTCTCCTCAAAATCACTACTTTTTGATGAAATTACACAAAAAGTGCCACTCAAGACATGTACAGGTTTATTCCAAATGCAGTTCTGAACAATTCCATATAAGACACAAGTGGGTTTTTTCTGTTTTTGATCGTTTTTCAAGATTATAAAAAACTGCAAACTTTTCAATATTTTCCAGTTCTATATTCATTTATGGTTATTTTGATGTATCATTTGACTAGGTGCAAACATATTTTTTTCGTTTCACCAAAGATTATTAATTTTTTATTTTCAAATTTTACCCGCATCCAATCAAAATTGTGTTGCATAATCGTCTCTTACAGGAACCAAAGTTGAAAAATACCCAAATAAACATTACAGATGTATTCTACAAACCATACTGAAAATATTAATATTGGTATATAATACGACGTTGATATATTTATTTGAATTTATAGCCCCAAAGACCTTTTAACTGCCCACTAGTCATCATCTCATTCGCCCTCCCGAAAAAAAATTCGTCCACAAGCCGAAAATAGTACGTAGCGAATGAGTTAAAAGCGACCATATGTGAGGCATCCTATGTGGTGAAATCTGGCGCTCATCAAATTAACTAAGGCAAAGTTAGTGAATAACAAGATGGGCCACTCAGCCAAAAAAGTGTCCGCAGGAAGTATGCTCTTTGCTTCAGATGGCGCTGCAGTCTGTTTTGAAGCTCTCTTTCGTTTTTCCAGAAGAAGAATAGGAATAACACCTCCTTGCGTGCGCATATCGACTGCTGTTCATCAGCAGTTCGGGTACGTTCAGTGCGGAGTTTTAGGGTTTTTTATTTTAATGACCTCTCGCCTTTCATTCTAAAGTCAAATTAATCGAAGAAAACCATCACCCTTTTCTCCGGACGAGGTTTTTTGTCAGCGTAACCATTTTTAAAAAGTTTTCTTCCGTAATTTATCCCAAAACTTGCTAGTTTCACTTTGATTTTTTAAAACTCAAGTAGGGTAACTCTGTTCGCAAAAGTGCGCTTTTGTGAAGAGGGCGCCACCAAATTTTGAGGACACTTTTTTAATTGGCTCAAAGAGAGAAGTGGCCCATCTTGTTATGTACTATCATTGACTAAGGTGAAAAAACTGGCATTTTTCGGCAGGTTTGGGAATTTTTAACGAATTTTTGTTTTTTGGTTAAACACCTGTCATGTCCATTAAAGAACACATTTCTGTGTGCATTTTACTGAAAAACATTGATTAAACGGACAAAAAATGTAAATTTTCAGTTTCCACAGCAGGACTCTCAAGATAAGTAAAAAATAAAACTTTGGCCGCCTTTCTTTTCACTAATTTTCCTCTAAAACCAAGCGACCCCCATCTGCTTCTATCGCCAATACCTCGACTTGTATTCACGATAAATGGATATTTTTTCCCCGTTAAGGTGATACCAAGAACTCACATACCCAAAATTTGATGAGTGCCCGATTCCACCGCATTGTAACTCATATGATTCAAACAAGCACAACAGGAGAGGAGTGAGAGAGCTGATACTGATTGGGATGAAGTAGAAGTGAACCCGGTGCAATACAGTCATTATTGTACACATTATGGCCAGTCCCATCTTCATACATGACATGTACAGTGGAACCCTGTTCTAACGAGAGGGTGGGGACCGGAGCAAAATGTCCGTTATAGCAGGATTCTCGCTTTAAGGGATCCAGTAATAAATTCAAGGGAAACTGTAAAGCAGGCCTAATCTATGAGTTTGGTGTCCTGTTTGTTTCCTTTTGCTATCTCCCCTGATGATGATTTTGTTTCAACAAGACCTTTAGGTTCTACTTGATCAAAATTCGAATCAGGTTTATATCTCTAGCGCTAGATCTAGCGATGTGGACTGGCAGCTTGGCTTTGGTGAAGTGAGAGGCATGGTCGGCCTCGATAATCCAAACTAGGCTTACGCTGGCTTATCACCCGATGCGTTCTGCTTGTCTGCGCATGCCACACCCTCTCTACTCAGTCGCTCCGGCCTTGATTGTTGACGCTCATGGGCTCTCCTATTCTTTGTTTCGCTAGATCACCAACAAGTTTCTCAACTGGCGAGGTTTCGCATTATGTATAATTGGCCTATGCACTGTGCACAGCAGCAGGAATATTTCGCCATAACCGACTCGCATGTTTGTCTGACTGCGCTCTAGCAGTATTTTATTTACAAAGGTAAAGAGGAGAAAAAAACGGGGTTTTAGAACAGTGTCTTTATAACAGACTTCTCGTTTTTTCCGGACCCGTTATAAGTGGAATCCACTGTATTATAATAATGTCAATTTGGTCAGATAATTGCAGTCAGAGTCAAACTTTCACTTTAGAACCGATCCGACTCTTGACTTGGAGTTGGAGGGCTGAGTGACTGAGTGAGTGACTGAATCTTGCGTGATTGATCACGCGAACTTTAAAGGAGCATGGGCAGAAATCCCCACGGGTCAGAACACGGAACATGCGCAGAAATCCCCAAGGGTCAGAAGTCGCAGACCAGGCGGGGCTAATCGACCGATTCGTTCGCCTGGAACATGCACAGAAATCCTAGATCAGGCGAGTAGCCTGGCGCAAGTCACCCGACATCGGGCGAGTAGCCACTCCGAAAAAGATTACAGCTATTTATGGAAATGTTGACATTTATAATTTAATAAATATGCTCTTTAGATTTCTCTTTTTCAGTGTTCAGGACCTCATGGGTTATTATTAGTACAGTTTTTAAAAATTTTTAATAGTAGAGGGTTTTACGGGGCTCGCAGCTGCATAAGGTCATATGAGCGCCATTAGTACAGTTTGCATTAATTGCATTTCGTATATTATATATTAACATTAACATTTTTAAAGCATTAGTGCAGATCAGGTTTATTATTTATTAAATTTGTGTGGGTTTTTAAAATTTGTTTTATAATGTTGTTTATGTGTTTCTTACGCTAAGGCTCTTATTTTAAATGAATTTAAGAGCACAAATTAGACTTGCTTCTTTTTTTTTTCTACAGTGTATGTTTTAGCCGGCAAACCAAACTCAACACACGATACTGCTGAAGGAGAAGAAGATGGTGAGTCAACATATCACCTTTTTGTTAGAGGCAGTTATGCTGAAGGTTGTGTCACACACACTTTATTTTAAAGACAGAGTTCATGGCATCTTGAGTGGAAAGAAGTAAGAAAAGTTTTGAGAGATAAAGTTGATTTTTATTTGACTTCTTTTCCTTTGTTTACTCAATAACAATAACAATAGGTAGGGTTGCGGAACTCTGAATTTTAAAAATATTAACAATCTCATCATACCATCAAAATTAGATGATGTAAGAATGGAGAAAAAGTGAAGAGAGACAAGGATGGTTAGCAGGATGCAGAGAATTTAAGTTTTAGGGATTAAGATAAAAAATTTATTGTGAAGATACTGGCTCATTAGTTTTGTATTTCAACAAATCCACATGACTCCCATACACAGTACGTGCACATGCACGCACACCCATACACACACACTCTCTTACACATCCTCACGTAATTCATATCATTGACCAGCTTTTCAAATATAAGCCTAATAAGCCCAAGATTTTGAAATGTTCGTTTTATTGCAGTTTCTTAATCTATCTGTGTTATTCGTTGCATGAGCTCTAGAAATATGTGATAAAATGTATAAATGTTGAAAAAAGCAAGAAAAGATGCACAAAATGGGTACAATTGTCAAACAAATGCAACAATTTATTTATCTCCCTGGAGAAGAAATTGTTCTTTCTGGCCTAGGACATTTGAACAGCTTGCTGACGTGGATATGCTTGCATTGACAAATAGACCAACAGTTACATGCATCTGATAATTTATGAATGAACAAATTGTTGTTTGCAGTGATAATATGTTTAACCCTATCCGTACACCCTGGGGTCATTTTGTACCCCTGGGGGTTGTATTCTTCACGTTTAAGAATACTTCTAGTACGAAGATCTCTTTGAAGCTTTCAGTTTTTCTCAAAAAGTCATTTTGACAGACTGATGCAAAGTGTACAGATCGAATTAACGAGTAAATTTCCTCTTTGGAAAGTGGTGGTACAGAGTTCCCCACGTCGTATGGATATGATAGTAGCACATGACGTACGGATAGGATTAAGGTAGATACATATAATGTCGGACAGCTGTTCAGATGCACTAAGCCCAACATTAAAAATTTTTATGTGTGTGTGGTTTCTTAATCTGTGCACGGCGTACAAACAGCGCTCTTTTAGTTGGATCGGCGATGGAGTGACCGGGTCACGGCGGGCCGGTCACCCAGAGGTCACTAACCCGCCCTCCCGCTACCTGCGTCAGTAGCCGGTGAAATGAATTTTTCAACACATGTTTTATCGTCTTACACACAAAAAAAATATCATACGGGAACACAAGTTTGTTCTTTAGAGAAAGCAACTAAACCTCTTTATTGGTATGAAATAGCAATACCATGGCTGCTCACGTTTTGGAGTTAGATGCTCTTAAAATGTATGTCTATTTATAGTTAGTCAAAACAACAAACACATATTGAATGGCTAATAACTTATAAGCCTAACGATAAATATTTACAAAACTGCCACGTAAGACAGGAAAATGTGTTTAGAAATTGACTCACTCAAAATTTTGTTTCCAGCACGAACATGGAACTTGTCATGAGCATGATAGCCAAAACGCTTCCCTGCATTCATGACTTTTTGTATCCAATGGAATGTGTATCCTCCTGAATAATGATATACTGACGTATCTTCAATATACAGCACCGATTTCTTTTCACGAAATGAACATGTACAGAATAAAAGTATACATTTATACAATTTTTCTTTCTAAACATATCCAGCAGCACGCAATGAGGGAGCTATTTGCAGGAGATGCGACACAAAAATAAAACGCATTATGTCTATCTGGTTTGGGATCCTTCATACTCTGGCTTCCAGTTTTGAGATCACTTGGTGACTGCTTTCTGTGTCCTGTTCTCCTAAACGCCCGAGAGCAAACATGTGTTGTTGTATGTGTGGAATACAGTGTTGTTATGATATGTGTGGCTTTTGGATAACTTTGCGGGGAAATAGCGTCTGAATGCGGACATGTAATTGTCGATTGCTAAGAAGATTTGTGGAACTGAAAATCGTTCGACTGGTTTGAGATTTGATATTGCAGTGTGAACATGGCTAAATCTTTCATTGAGAAGATTGAATATTGCTTCCATTCCTTTTGCCTCCTCAATTTTTGCAGTTTCGACGGAGTATTTTCTTGTTTCTGTACAAATTGTGTTTGTTAGTTCCTTGCATACATGGGGATGGAGGGAGGTATGTTTGGGGTGTTTTACGATGTTAGCTTGAAATTGATCTTTGTATGCAGCCACCTAAGCGGTACCGACAAAACGGAGAAGGAATTCACATTTCTGCTATTGTCAAACGCACACCACATGTTCCTACTAGTGTCAACTGCTTTTTTGCGGCATGAATTGACGTGACGTAACACCATATCTCCTTTTGATAGTTGAAATCGCGGTAAAACACTTGACACAAATGTTAGCGGAATACGACTGTTCATTTTCGTCCCTCACATCAATCCCATAAACCAAGAGAATATCTCCTGCTATTGTCTTACATAGTCGGGGCTTTCTGTACTTGTTTTGTTTGACAGTTAAATTTAAACGCCAACACACACGACCAAGTTCATTCAGAGACTCTATGCCTCTCATATGTGTGACTGGCCCATTGCAGTTTAACGATTTTTACTTAGGAACACAATTCACTAACTGATAGCCAGTCACTGCAAAGTGCTGGAAAAACAAAATTCATATCATTAGAAAATATGATTTGATGGCTATCACACCGTGCAAACAGAAATAAAGACCATCGTTCCATTCTCGAATGATTTGTAATTAAATTTGAAGAGATAACATTATTATCGGCGCTTCCAATCACTTAACACTCACAATTTAAACCTGTTATTATTCCCAAACGAATCAATGAAAACTGTTGAAACTTTCACAAGATATCAAGAAGACGTAGACGAAGCGGAATTGGTGAAGAAATAGGTTCTAGGAGTAGAGTGAGCATCATTTTACGGCTCATGAAATTAGGGGAAGAAACGCGTTCTGATAAGGACAAGATAGGACAGCGCTGTGCACGAGTTGACCCCGGTCAATCCCCGACTTGACGCGTGAAATTGCAGGTCACCTGCCGCTAATTTATGGCCTACCGCGGGGGGCCCGGACTAACTAAAAGATCGCTGAGACGGAATTTCGGACGCCGTGTGTGGTACATTGGTTCATTGTTTGCATGTGCTCAAGAAATATTTTTTTGAAATTCAAAATCTAAATGTAGAAAAAAGCAAGGAAAAAACCCATTATTTGGTACAATTGTTAAAAGAATGAAACAGTTTTTTTCTCTCTCCTGAAAAAAAATTTCTTTCTGGACATAACACATTTGAACAGCGACCTGACAACAATCAGTTTCCTGAGAGTAGCCCGCGGTATTCTGATGGTTCATGCTATAAAAATAACAGAAATAGGCCTACTTATATCACAAGATGATGACGATGATTGGAGTTTGATGGATGAAAGTAAAAATTGACTATCTATATATATCTTAGAGAGGGGAACTGTCTGTCTGAATATTTTGTGATAGCACTTAATTCTTAAGACTTAACACAGTTTCAAATGATCTAAAATGCTCTATTTAAATGCATAACTTCTTCACTATCGTTTGGTAACAGTCATGAGATTACTTGAATGTTTGTCTATTGTTCAACAGATGCCCAAAGCAAAGTGATAGTAAAAGTCTTAACTAAAGTGAAAAAAAAAAAGTCTTTGATCTAAAATTAAAATTTCCTTTCTGTTCCTGATGAACGAAATATTTGCTCACTTGTCTTGTTGTATCCTCAAAAAGGTTATCTCAACAAAATTTGATTTGTTTTTTTATATGATTCCTGTACAAAGTAATTTCTTTCAGTTTCACCTAATCTTTGGGTCTTGCCATCCTTTATTTTCCTTTATGTGGAGACAGTTTGATTTGAAAGTTAAGGTACAGAGACTGGCTTTGAACTTTGTTACAGCAATGTAAAATCTGAACAAGAACATAGTATGTCAGAAAACATGGTTTGAGAACCAAGACTGGGGGTCTCTCTCTCTCTATATATATATATATATAGCAGTGTACATTTGGGTTAGGGGAGTTGCGATGCACACAGGGCGTATCTATTTTGTTAAACTTTCCTCCACAGCTCATTTCCTGAAGGTGATCAAGCGAGCCAACCAAGAGCCAGTGAAGAAATACACCTTCCCCCAGACAGAGGCCCAGGAATATGGCTGGATCAGCAGACCCCTGGTATGTTGGTACAAAAAATGTGATCAGTAGACCGTTAGTACAAAACGTGTAATATCTGATAGCAAACTGTGATCTGACAACAAAAAGAAAACATTTAACTTAGATCCCATGACATGGAGTTGTAACTGAAGTACAAGGTGTAGCGACATCTCAGATTATTTGTGAAAATTGCAAACAGAATTGTTTATGTCAGAATTACTTGTACAATCACAGTCCAGCCCGCACCTAGCCAACAAGTTTTCAGGTCCCGACATTAGAAAAAAATTTATGTACAGTCGAACCTGCCTTAATGGAAACCTGTCCAATGCGGAAACAGAAAGAAAAATCCGCTCTCTTCCGAGAGTTTCACCTGTCTAAGACAAAACTCGCAAGTTTGGTTCCGCTGGCTCTAAACTTAACGCCATGGCCATGCTGCTGGGCAAGGAAGGGGAGTAGGGGTGCAATTTGGGGATAGATGTTAATGTTACCCCGTCATGTGAGCCCCGAGGGATGCAGATGGTCTGGGTGGTGTGGGTTTGAAATCTCACAACTGCTCGTGAGAGTGTATGAAATTAGATTGACCAATGCGCCCTGATCGTACAGCCAACCGTGAAAAGAGTTCCCATCGAATCGTTGTTACATGGCAGTGAAGGGTGGCATTGGTTGACTGTGCTTGTTACACCAGTGGGTGGGGCTAAGGGTGGAAGCAAAGGAGATGTTGAAATGTTTGTTTTTAATAGTTCAAACAAGCAAGTACTGTGGTAATTGGATTAGGAAGACTGATACATGTCATTATCAAACAGGACAGCTATTGAAAGGTGTGAAGTTTTGACCATTGCTTGCCGACTGGATCCTTGATCCCACCGGCTGGACCTTTGAACCCACACCCCCGTCCATCTCCCCCTAAATTCCCCTGTCTAAGACGGAATTTATTTCTGGCTCCCTTGTGATTCCGTCTTACACAGGTTCGACTGTATATGTGTCAGGATGTGGTGGAATCAGGCTCTTGTCAATTTTTGGGCATGTGTAGTTGCTAGTGTGATCTCAAAGCCTGTCCATTTGCCTTGATTTTGATGAAAAAAATATCCATTTATCTTGAGCACAAGTCATTTACAAGGTGAAAGAGGTGTTGGGGGGGGGGGGGGGGGGGGGGCTGGTTTAAGAGGTGAAATTAGCAAGAAAATGGCCACCAAAGTTGAGTTATTTCCTTAGCTGGAGAGTCCCTTGAAACTGAAAACACATCTTTTATGCCTCTAATCAACGTTTTTCAGTAAAATACTCACAGATATTTTGAGAATGTTCTTTTATGGGCATGAGAGGTGTTGAGCCAAAAAACAAAAATTCGATAACAATTCCAAAACCTGTGGAAAAATGCCAGTTTCTTGACCTTCACCTTGAAAATTTTCGTCATCACCCACCTCCCCCCCATCCACACACACTGACACACACACACACATACAACACACTCATGTAATTGACTGTTTCCTCGACCCATCTTCCCGACAGGTTGAGCATGACACGGCGGACAAGAGGCTGTGTTTCCGTCGCGAGAACTCAAGTATAACCAAGTACATGGACGCGGCCTGGAGGATCAAGGAGCAGCAGGAAAATCTCAACTGATGGATTCTTGCCACTCGACCACACAGGTGCAGACAACAAGCAATATCACAAGATTCTTGAGCCTTACAGAAGCCAACACTTGGGCATCTGTCAGTCAGTCCCACTTCTGTGTGTCATCAACTCTTTTGTCATTGGTGGGAGCTGCAGCCTGAGGTAGGACCAGCAACAGCCACAGAAACGGGGAATGGACAGACGGTACAGTTAGTTGTTAGAAATAGAAAAGATCATAGAAAAGAGAATAGACGGATAGCACAGTTAGTTGTTAAGAGTTAGAGATGATCACAGAAACAGCAAATGGACAGATGGCACAGTTAGTTGTTAGAGATGATGACAGAAATTTTACAGTAGAAAACTTTAAGACTCTAGTGCTTTAACATCGGGACCATTGTTCACATCCACTGAGAAGACAGGGCAACAGCATCAGAAAATTTTGAATACTTCTTCTCCTTGATACAGCACAAATGATAAACACCATTCTTCTTTAATTCTATACATATCATCATTATCAGTATCACATTGAGGCAAACAGCTACATGTGATAGGCAGCTTTTACAGATCATGTCTGTACTGTTTGTACACCCTCTGTCTGTTCTCCCACTTCTGTGGCCGGGACTGGTCCTGTGGTGCTGCTGTACTGTGGGTAATTTATCTCATCACACTGCGCATCATGCCATTGGTTTTCTTCATTTGTACGTACTGAGTGCTGAGTGCCCTATGTTATCACATCAGTCATCAATGTATACAAGTATCATGTCAATCATCATTGTATACATGTATCATATCAATCATCAGTCACAATGTATACACGATATATCATATCAATCATCAGTGTATACATACATTGCAGTAATCATCCTTTGACTTAGCCAGCATAGAAGAAGATCAAGCTAGCAGTCACTACAGCCCCTCGTGGCTGACTCAGTGGAACGGTGTGAAGCCTATTTCATGCTGAGTGTAAATAAAATAATTTATCACAAGCACATGGTTTATGTTTTTGTTTGGCTGTTTTTAAATATAGGTATTTTTATGCCCTCATCCACACTATTTAGATCATTTAGGAGGCTGGCTTCCGACCATGTCTGTCAGGGCCAATGTTTGAAAAAGAGTGCCTATACAGTCAAACCTGTGTAAAACAGCCACCCATTGTCAAGGAGAAAAGTGGCCATATAACACCGGTGGTTGTCTTAGGCAGGACTGGTCAAAATGAAGAGAGCAAATTATTCTCTTCTGATGTTCAAACCGGGGCTGATCAAATTTAGTACACACCGGGTACTTGGTTCATGCAAAGATCTACAAGTGTAGTATGAGGTTTAGTCTATAAAATCAAAAAAAAATTGATGGGAGATTCGAACAACCTCAAATTGTAAAATTAGCTTATGTCCCAATCAGTTCAGATCCTATTCTATTTTTCTCTTGAAACCTTCGATACACCGGTAATCTGTATTTAGACCTACTTCTGGTATTTTCTTTTTTAAAACCAGTATGGTATTGTTTTAACTGTAAATTGTAAATTTTAACTGTAATTGTAATCGTAAAATACAGCAAATTTTTTCTCTCCATTTAATAGTAATAATAATGTAGATCATTTCTATAGCGACCACTCCTGTGTGAACGCAGCTTAATTAAGGCGTTTACATTAATTTTATTAAGGGAGTGTCTACGTACATGGTAACTGGGCACCTAGCCTCAGTGTCTACCTACGGTAACCAGGCACTTCAGAACTCCAAGTTCAGTTTTTGTCATCCAGTGTTGCCTTCATCCCCAGCCCTCTCCCAACTGCACCTTTAAAAAAAATCAATACCCCCATTCCAGAGCCCTGTACTTCGCAGCGCACAGACTTTGAATGAACTCTGGTGGCCCCAACCGGTACTCACAATGCTGTCCCCGTGGTTTTATGCACCACGCATAATTTAGCAAAATTTGATCATTTTTTGCATAGTTTCTGATTATTTTCCTTTTTCATTGTTTTTAAAAAGTAATAGAATCGCATAATTTCACATTTTTTGACTCAGTTTGCATAATTTCAGAATTTTTCTTGCGTAAAACGACGGGGACAGATAATGTGATGCGAAAGCACAGGTTCACTGACCGGTCACGATGGCGAGTCCGACAAGACGCTTGTAGTACTTGTACATGTAGGACTTTCTTTTTTTTTCAAAAAGTGACAGCACTGGACAAATATTGGTTCAGAGCTATTTTCATTCCAGTTCCCGTGTACGTAGATACTGAGACTAAGTGCCCGGTTACCGTGTATGTAGACACATGCATCCTGTACGAACAATATTCACGCGCGCGCACACACACACACACACACACACGTACACATGCACACCACACACACACCTACTTTCTTATCACACGCACACGCTTAGATCTACACTTACACATATTATTAGATCTAAATGTCTCAGTTTGTGTTGTACATGATGCATTCCGGCCTGAATTTCCGGTTATAGCTTTTAGAGTACGCCCAGTAGAATGGAGCTGGGCCGAAACCATGATTTATGTAGGCCTATGGGCTCTGTACTTGCACCATTTCGAATTAAAAATTCTTTTAAAATTAAAGCATTGATGTTAGTTTGCCTGAAATTGCGAAAATTGCAAAAAATTGCGGGTTTATTGATGAACTCGACGAAAAACGCGGCCGCAAGACCAGGTTTTTCTGGGGGGCCAGAGAAATTCTGGAAAATCCCAGGAAAATACACTGAACCCTAAGAAGAACAAATACTGTGCAAAAGGGCCAACTGGATAAAATGCATGTCTGCATCGTCTATTGTCTATGACGAATTGTTTGCCAAATAAGTTGTGCTGCTGTGTAGAGCCTAGCATACGGCAACGTTTGATTCCACAATCCAGCATGCAATTCATTACGTAGATCTATTTCAAGACTAGCTTATCATTGTTATAGTAATATTGATTAGTAGCGGGGGGGGGGGGGGAATGACAGAGACATGTTCGTATTTATATATGATCTCTATTAACTACTGACGTTCCATGGTCTGACTGCTTGTGCCTCATTCCCCCAGAAACACGCAACACAGCCATCTGTTCGACCCAGACACACGCACACACAACACAGCTGTCTGTTCGTCCCGAACACAGCACACACAACATACGACAGTCGCTTGTCCGACCCTAACACATGTACACACAACACAGTCGCCTGTCCCACCCGTACACATGCACACACAACACAGTCACTTGTCCGACCTGGACACATGCACACACAACACAGTCGAAAGGCTAAGTCTTCAGAGGTAACACCCGTCTCCGATCCGAGATAGCCATCTGGGTGGAGAGCTTTGAAAATTCCTCCAAACAACTCGGGATACAAACTGTACCACTGGGGATCTGAACCATATTCATCCGCACTATAGCCCAGTGTGATACCAACTGAACACATCCCAACACCATTGGAAGACAGAAAAAGAGCACTGAGAAATAAAGAAGGGGAAAACCAGCAGACGAATCTGTACCACAAACATTTACTCCACATAGCAACACATCCGTGCAAGGTAGACATTTACATGGCAACTCATCCGTGTAACACAGACATTCACAGGACACAGAACAAGACATCAGCATCACAGCGGTTTGACACTTCCTTGTCTCATGCTGGAAACCTGAGGTCGACTCCCGAGTAGGAAGAATTTTTATCCAGTATCTCGGTCTTTTTGCTAAGATATTGTATCCCTTTCAGCCTGGGTTGGAAGCCCGTCTGCTAAATGGTCTAAATTGTATCGATGCTGACGTAAAAACACTTTCATTAAAAAAAAAAGAGTAAGGCAGACAAGTGTGAAGAGATTAGTGTTTATTTTTATTCTTGAGCACCTTTCGTCGGTTCTTGCCTGGCCTTTGGTTTCCTTTACCCTGAAAGTAAAAATAGAAAACATCCGAGATAAATGGGGAGATCATCAAACATCAAAACACTACAGTGAGCCCCACTTATAAGGCGTCGGTGGCTGAGTGTTTGGCTATCCGACCCATTGCAGGTTTGGGGGATTCGAGCATCAGCTCAGTCCGACATCATGTCCCTGGGAAAGGCACTTTACAAGAATTTCCTGTTTAGCTTGGTCCTTTCAGAGAAGGATGTTGAACTCGGAGGTTCCCTAATCTAATAATAGTCTTCCCAAAGTGTTGAATGTTAAACATATACCATTTTTTCTCCCCACTTATCAAACAGTATTGTGAGCCGCACTGATCAAATCTCCGAGTTTTGTCTCTTTCATGTAGAGTCACAAATTGTTTTTATAACAGCAGGACAGACATGCTCGCCTGTAACACTGCCGTAAGCTGACAAAACACATTTTTTATTCACTGCAGTTACGAGAAAAAAGTGTTTTATGTCAGTGTAACCATTGAAAAATAGAGTACTTCTGAAATTTGAATTCTAATTTATTCAAAAACTAGTTACAGCTTCACTTCAATTTTTTCACACAAGAATGGTAACTGATCAGGCTTTTCATTCAGCAAATAAAAATTTTTGGCACCAAAATTAAAAAAGGCGTTTTGTCAGCTTACGGCAGAACAGTGGTCCAAACACTGGCAAAATCCCACAGAAAACAAAGGGACAAGAAAGTAGAAAGAAGCAAGACAATGTCCAACACAGCCAGTCGCACCTGCCTGACCCAACTGTTGGAACAAACTTTACGATGTGTCATACTGTGTGTGTGTGCAGGGGAGGGAGGGGGAAATATGACGTGTCATACTGCGCGTGCGCGTGTATGTGTGTGCGGGGGATGGAGGAGGAAAGCTGGAAGCACTTTGGTGTTGATGCATGTCCAGTCAGCGACATCGCGAGACCTTAATCTGACACATCGTCACATTGTCTCCCCGCTAGGTGGCCAGGCTTATAACAAGAAGAAACACTTGAAATGAGAAGTCGCCACTGGGTGCCTGATCTACCACCCATACCTATGACTATGAGTTTCCCTTTTCCCACCTGTGGTAACTTCCACTACAAAAAGTCGTAAAGCACACAGCGCACGCAGCAGACCCTGTGGGGCATGGATTCTCACACTACATGATAAATGCAGTAACTATTGTTACCTGTCCTTTCTAACTATGTCTAGTCAACCTCCATGAGATTAACGCTTTGCCACCTAGTTTCTTTGGATTTTCCCCAAAATGAAGTGGCAAAGTATTAAGAATAAAAGACTCTGAATTATGGTAGGAAAATATGAGGAGAAAAATAATATCACAGGAAAAGAAAGGGGAAATACCTGAACAACCTGTAGTAAGTACTATGTTAGTGTAATAAAAGTGATCCCACTGGTTCATCATTATTTACCGTGTCTGTGAACGTGATCCCTCTTTGTAACAAGGACATCGCTTCGGTACCGGTGGTCCTGTTGCAGCCGCGGCCCACTGTGCACACAACACAGACGAAACAAACATACACCCCCCCCCCCCCCGTACATATACACCATGTGTGTTCATGTCGGTATATTTGACAGTGTGTGCGTTTCTTGTAATTGAGACTCACCTTTCTAGCGGGTCCCTTGCCATGAGCTTTGCGTGCGTTGAAATCGCTCACATCCGCTGAGCTCTCTGCTGTGTTGTACTTGGACCTTTTCTTCTGACCGCCAAAACCAAACTTTTTGTTTTTGAACTCTCGCTTCTTGTTGGGCCTGTGACAATGAGGGGAAGGAAATCTTAGGATCGTGCAACTGCAGTTGTTTTACACCTCCATCAACACAATTTAGAGTGGCGTAAAACCTTACTAAAACAAAAAACTAAAAAAACAAACCAAACAAACAATTTAGAGTAGCAGTATGTTCTTTCCCCTGTAGGTCACAGGATAAATAAACCTTTGACCTTTGAACCCTTCCATAAAGTACAGAAGGACTAAGGGACACTCTACTTTTACTAATGTAGCAACTGTCCATGTTTGACACAGAGTGACTGTCTACTTCTACTGATGTAGCAACAGGGAACATTTACATCCTTGTCCACACAATTAGGGACATTATTTAGGAGGAGGGAATGACTGTGTTTTACATCCTTTTCTAAACCATTGTTGACATCAGTTATTAGCACACCTACCTCATGTTTTTCTTGCCGTTCTGCGTCTGCTGTGCTGGTGTCTCTCTCTCCACAGTCTCTCCCAGCAGCTCGATCTTGTCAATCTGACCTGTGAGAGTACGTGTGTCAGTATATGTGAGTGTTTAAGTGTATGGGTAAGAGTGTAAGTGTAATAAATGTGTAAGTGTAAGGGTTGAGGATAAAGTAAGTGTATAGGTTGATAATAAAGTAAATGTATGCGTTTTAAATAAAATAAGTGTATGGGTTGAAAGTAAAGTGTATGGGTTGAAGGTAAAGTAAGTGTATGGGTTGAAAGTAAAGTGTATGGGTAGAGGGTAATGTAAGCATATGGGTTTAACGCTCAAGTCATTTAACCCTATCCGTACGTCGTGTTTTTCTATCGTATCCATACGACGTTGGGAACTCTGAGCCACCACTTTTAAAAGAGGAAATTTACTCGTTTTCCGATCCGTACGCTTTGCATAGCAGTCTGTCAAAATGATTTTTTAAGAAATACTGAAAGTTTCAAAGAGATCTTCGTACTAGAAGTATTCTAAAATGTGAAGAATACAACCCCGAGGGTACAAAATGACCTAAGGGCGTACGGATAGGGTTAAGAGGCGGGACCTCCAAATTCTAATGAATGTCTGTCTCCGATAGGACAGAACCAAATAGGCTAAGAGCCTTGAAAAACTCCACAAAACGACCCCCAAGTTCAAGAACGCCCAGTCAGGGACTTGAACCAGGGCCATCCGCTCCATAGTCCAGCATGATACCAACTGAGCTGACAGAGCACATAATTTGATTGTTTTAGTAAGCGTTTTGCGGCACTTGCAACACAATAAGGTCATATATATGTGCCTAAGATTGGAGGTGTTACAAGAGAGTAAAAAACACAAAAAAGAAGGAGAGATAAAGACGATAGATGTTTAATAGGAAAGAAGAAGCAAACCACACCAGAGCACCTGCCAGCCACCCACAGAGCACATTCACTTTGAGCCAACACCAGACCAGGTATAACTTGGTGGAGTTATGCGACACGTTTACACGACAGGTACCGAATTAATACTTTCAAAATCTAAGGTGGATCCGACATTCATAGTCAGGAAGAGTTTTGAAACATCGGTAGAATGTGCACCGAGCTATTTCAGTTTCTTTCGTTGGTTCTTCAAAGAAAAAACAGTGACCTGAGCTGTCTTCTATTTCCTGACTTACTTCAGGTGCTCGGGTGGTGTCCGAGGAAAAGGCATCAGGTTACACCATCTAGTAAGAGTGTCCTACACCTTAACGGTTTTCTGAACCAACAGTGGACCAGCTTTTTTCTGACCTTCGTTTGGCTCACAATAAACTAAATAGCCATTTTCTTTTTACAGTTCCTAAGAGTGCATACTTTTATTCCCTAAAAAAACAGAAAGCACCTGTCTTTGTTTTCACTTGAGGCGTATGAGCAAAGCCGAGAAATTAGTTACCTTTTCGGAATTTCTTCACAGAGTCCAGCATCTCCCTCTTCTCCTTCTGTCTCTTGAGGAGAACCTCGTGTTGAACCTGTCGAGGAAGGAGACATTAGACACAGAAACAAACCACAAAGAATACTTAGCTTGAAATGAATGTCAGGGGTTCATCCATTTTTTACACCAAACAATTTTTTGTTTATTGAAACTCCTGCATGAGCAAAGACTGTGATGAGAGAGAGAGAGAGAGAGAGAGAGAGAGAGAGAGAGAGAGAGAGAGAGAGAGAGGGGGAGGGAGAGAGAGAGAGATCTAAAATCCCAAAGAAAGGTTTGAATATGACTAATATTTGTAAGTCACCGTATGTTCCCACTCACAGAGGGACAAAATGTGTTGATAAAAAACACAAACAGTTTTGTTCCTCTTTTAATGCAGGTGGTTTTTTACCCACAAATCGACACAATTTAAATCAATTTACAAAACAAAAAAAAGAGGGTAGAGAAGTAAGAATGATAGATGTTTGATAGAAAGAAAGGAAGACACATAAAAACACTCATGACATTCAAGTAAATACAGCACAGTGGAACTCGGATTTAACGAGAACTCGGATTCAACGAGTTGAGATAGATTCCGTTGTTTTTTCTACCTTAAAATCAATAAAAATAATCCGGATTCAACGAGCATTTAAATCAGTGAGCTCGAATTCAACGAGGTCGCTTACAGGGTGAACAACCCACGCAGACGTGGCTTCGCTCATTTTTCTCCCAGAACGAACTTTATCTATTCCTGGAAACCACCCATCGCAACTGCATCGTGAACCATTATTCACTTAGCCCATTGCAAGCCACCAATCAGCGGCCTTTTTTCATACCAACACACGCGTTGTTGGTTCGCCCACGGGTCTACTCTGGCGGGTGTCTGGGTCGGATGGGGGGCCTGCACACGTGTGACTGTGTGTATGTGTCGGAAAGGGGGGGGGGAGCACTAGCGGTCTGGGCGTTGAACGTCACAGAAACGCGTCAGTCTTTTTTCCCCCTCGGCAACTGAACATTATTACAATGATAAACTAGATCTAGTCCTGACGTAGATCTACGTAATGAATTGTGCGCTGGTCTATGATATCAAAATTTGCCGTTATGCTAGGCTCTACACAGCAACACAACTTTTTGGTGAACAATCGAGATGACAAAGGCGTGTGCATTTGAACGAATCGGGTCTTTTTTTTTTTTTTTACACAGCTCATAATATGCAGGCATTTCAGGCACTTCTTGTGATTTCTTTGTACATTACTTGCTCAGTGCTTGTAATTATCTACACAAAACCTCGTGTTTGCTATAACGAACACTCGGATTCAACGAGATTTTAGGTCAGGCCCGGCAACCTCGTTGAATCCGAGTTCCACTGTACATACAAACACTCATGACATTTGAGGGAATATCACACAAACAAGAAGCACTCACCTTCTTGCCATATTTCCTCAATTCTCTGAGCTTCTTCGCCTTCTCTGACCTTTCCATGGACATCTTCTTCTCAAGCAGCTTGGAGCGAACCTGTCAAACATTACAGTCATACAAATGTTTACATGTCATATATTATAGTCACACAAAAATTTATCTAGAAAACTAACCCACACAGATCAACCCTTTGAAGCATAAAATCACTATTTGTGCTGCTCAAATATCACGCACAAATCTTATATATAAGCCCATCAGCAACAATCATTGAACTTCAGTATTTACTTTGCTATTCTTTGAGTTTGAGTGCACCGTGACACGCACGTCGTGCGATATGATGACACCACACCATCATTCATAAAGCTTTGAATTTTGAATAAGGTGAGAGGATCTCACTGCGCTCTTCTGCTGTTAATTACTTGCAAAGCTATCTGCTCTGCTTCGTCGAAAGTTAAGGGCTCTTGAGCTATTCATGGTGTGACATTAATGAATATTGAATAGAGGTGAATACTTCTTAGAGGCATATTTATTGATAACTAATGTTGGCTCCACTTATCACTCTGTCTCGTCATCTTCAAGTGTGAAGTATTTCTGTATTTACCTCAACAATATTTAAATACAATATAGTCTAATTTTACTCTGGGTTGAGAGAAATGAGACGAAAATCCATTATTCGTAAAACCATACAACATTGGAATGGTTCTGCAATGCTTCAACAGCTCTCCCACTTATCAGGCATTGGAGAAACATTTTGTAACGGAAATCTTTAGCACATGAGAATATCTGACCAAACAGACAACTTCATTGTAAGTGTAAGACAGAAAATCACGTCAGTGACTAAACAGTACAGAGTTAGCTGGTAAAAACATTACAATATCAGCATCTGGGAAGAAACAAGAAGAAGGTCGATAAAAAAGAAACCCAAATTGTACCTAATTTGTTATAGAAAATCTCGAAATCTTTGATTACATGCATGTTTGAAAGACAATCTAAGGCAAAGTCAAGAGTTATCCACTAAGCAAAGAGCGTGACCCGCAGGCATGTGATATGTGGGTGGACACGAGCGTGGGGATCACAGACTCACTTTCTTCATGTGCTCGTCCGACTTGGCCATCTCGGCGAAATAGTCCTCGGGTCTCTTGGTCGGCACCGACAGTTTGGCCAATCTGGCAAGGCCTTCAAGCACTGAGGCTTGAGCCTGGCGATAGCTGGCAGGAACAAACAGAAAAACATGCTCAAAATAACAGCTACTGAAAAATATTGTCATTCATAAAGAGAACTCAATGCAGACCAGCTAACCACTCAAAAACCAAAAATAGTTTTCTTTATCATCTTCCCATAAAAATCAGAGTTTGGGCAAAAATATCAGTCTCCAGGACCCTGGCAGATTAAGATTAAGTAACAAACTAAAGCTTACAGATTCCTTGATTCCAAGAAAGGTTTAAGAAAAAGAAAAAAGCCTATTGAAGAAATGTATGAATCAACACAAGTCATGAGTACTCACAATCTCATCTCCCTGTTGAAGTCGTCGTCTTCATTTCCCTCACTGGTAAGTGCATCGATGGATGGTGCAGGGTTGTTTGTCAACTCCAATCTCTCTATCCATTTCATTTTGTCAAGGGAAAATTCTCGTATTTTGTCACTCAAGCCCTCCTGAGGATGGAAGATTTATTTCATTTACACAAAAGGAAAATTCCAAGAATACACAGACATCTGAAAGTAACGGGATGACCAAGAACATGATATATAAACCAATATGGTAATCATGTGCTTACCGGAAAAGTAGGTTAGGTCAATAGTTTGCTACATGCTGACAATAGTTAGAATAAGAGTCTCCTTCGGGCTGTCAGTGACATGTTCTACAGCTCAAAGATGTCAGTGAAATTTTAAATCTCAAAGATCTGTTCCCGTGGTTTTATGTACCCTGCATAATTTAGCAAAATTTGGTCATTTTTTGCATAATTTCTGATTACTTTCCGTTATCATTCTTAGTTAAAATAAACAGAATCGCATAATTTCACATTTTTGGGCTCAATTTGCATAATTTCAAAATTTTTCTTTCATGAAATTACGGGGACAGAAAGATGTCAATGATGTTCTACAGTTCAAAGATGTCAGTGACATTCTACAACTCAAGGAATCAGTGACATGTTCTACAGCTCCAACATCAATGACACGTTCTACAGCTCAAAGGCAAAGACGAACATTGCCCTTTTCTCTGGGATCAGAGTGAAGAGGCTTTGCACAGAAAACATCAAACCCTGACAAGTCAAAAGCAGCCATATATAATATATAAGTAGTTGATAAAGACCCCAGCTCAGATTAGTCAGAATCAGGAAGCGAAGACTGACATGAGGCGAGTACAGCTGGCAACACACAATGTAGAGAGGTGAAGTCAACACACTGGGCGAACTACGCTCTTGAACAGACAAGTTTATGCCTGCAGCAAACCCAGATTTTCACACACTACACATGTTCCCACACACACTGTATCAGCATGTGTTACACACATCACACATGTTCCCACAGGTGCTGTATCGGCATGTGTTACACGCTGCAACAGTGCGAGTATTCTGTGAGCAGCAATGTGGGTATTCTGTCAGCAAGAATGTGAGGAGCCAGACTGTATGACAAACATTCACACACAAACAATTATCCAACTGGCTTCTATGACATGGCGGTTAGGTGCTTTGCTGTTACACACAAAAGACCTGAGTTCAATACCTCTGTGAGGAAATTTTTTTATTGAGCATCCCGGTATTTCTCCACGGAATAATGTGAAGAAGCTAGCCAAAGTAATGGAAGTGTTTGTCCTTGGTCTATACCCTGGTGCAGGGTGAGAAAGTGTTTGTTCGTGGCCTATACCCTGGTCCAGAGTGAGAAAGTGTTTGTCCGTGGTCTATACCTGGTGTATGGTGAAAAAGGCAATGAAGGCTTTTGGTCTTTCTGCCAGGATGTTGTTTTCCTCTCAGCCCAAGCTGGCCTTGACAGACAGGGTCAAACTCACCTCCTAAATGATTAAACGCAGTGGCTATTTTTACGGCGAGCCGTAAAGATAGCCTCCCGGTGATTCCCAGGCTATTTTTACGGCGATCCTCGAAAAGCGACCATACGTCCGCCTCTCATGTACACGACATGCCTCAATGTATTAGATCTAGGCCTATAGGGGCCGTTCAAAATATAAACTTATACCTCAGAGGGGAAAGGGTGTCTTTGGTGGTTTCTGTAAGAAAAGTGTAAGATTGGGTGGGGAGGTTAACCAAATATGACACTTCTGTGAGATGAACGTTTTGA